GGAAAGAGGCGGGGGCAATTAGGGTCAGTCCCCTCCCACCACTAAAGGGAAACATGTAATGGGCAACTTGCCTCCACTTTTCAAATTCCCACTGTATTTAGGACATTTTTTAAAGTCCTGCCATTTTGTCCTCCTCCACTGCATCATCATAGCAACTCTGTGAGAGAGGCGGGTTTATGGTCGTCCAGAAAGTTTCATTCAGTTCTCTGTAAGCGTGTTGACTAGGAGGGAGCCTGCCTCAGTGCAGTGGGTCTTCTGCTTTTTCGGCCCTGCTACCAACTTCTTATATTCTGACCATATATATCTATTTTCTTTTCTCATTCGGTCGTTCGCCTTCCTTTATTCCTTGGCTTTTATATCCCAGCGACAAAGAGAATCGTGATGAAGCTGCGCGCACGACTTAGTGGGGGGCAGTGACCCAGCCACGGGATCCCTTTCTCGTTGTATGAAAACATCTTTGTACCCTGGCCGTTTCACGATTGCATCAACAGGTTTCCCTTGAGTATTGCGCCTCTCGGGAGGGAAAGGCAAATTGTGTTGTAACTACTGAAGTGTGGAATGTGGCGTGGCCTAATTTTTCTCTCCTTTGTTGCAGGAATACATTAAAGGAATTTGCGAACCTGAATTAGAAGAGCGGGAGTATTATCCCAAAGATATGCATTGTATATTTGTAGGCGCCCAGAGCCTCTTCCTGAATTGCCTCATTCAGGATACCTGCGCCGATATCAGCGTTGCAGAGACGGGGTTGCTGAATATCAAAGGCAGTGCTGAGCCTGTGGTCATGGCCAGAAGCCACATTCAGCAGCTGGTGAGCCTCTTCAGGAACAACGAAAACCTACTGAACGGCCGAGAGTCGGAAGTAAAGAAGCGGTTCAAACACCTTGTTGAGGCCCATGCAGATAAGTATACAATGGACCTGTTGATCTTACCTAGCTCGCTGAAGAGAGAACTGCTCAACCTTGCGCGGGCCGAGAGTTGCAGAGCGGAAGACAAAACTGTGAACCTTACCGAGGCTGATGGGGCACCGGAACTTCTCCCAAACGAAGCTCCGAAACAGTGCGCCAGAAGCTGCGATTTTGGAACGGGACAGGAGGAAGCGCGAAACAACGCAGGGACTCCAGTCACGGAGCTAACCAAGCAGATGGACACCATCTTCCCTCAGAGCCCCGAAAAGCATTTTGTACCCATAAATGGTCTGAGTTCACTAGAGATGTCTGTAGGCAAAGAGAGGCAGTCGTGTAAACGGAGATCCTCAGAGTCTGAGGAGCGGCTTCCGAAGAAGCAGTTTTCTCTGGAAAACAATCAGGAGAACGAACGGAAGGGATGCGGCACACCTGGCGATGTGTTGGCGATCAGTCTGGCTGCCAACAGCAGCGACAAGTCAGAGGATCTGAGCCCGTGCGCTAAAGAAGGTGACGAGATAAGCGAGGAAAAGGAATACATGTTTTTGGTCGACTTCTTCAAAAGCATGGGCTATTCGCAGCACATTGTCGAGAAGGTGATTGGCGAACACGGACAGTTGACAGAACCCCTCCTGCTGCTGAAAGAAATTGTAAAGGAGAGCGACAAGTCCTCCGAAGAGGAAGAACAGACTGTTCAGGCAGCACAAGCTATGAAAGGCAAATGCAGTCCCAGTAACAACCAGCACTGTGACCTGGGCCATAATTCAGAAGAGCCAAAATACGCAAAACACAACGTGGTATCTCGTCCCGGGGCACAGTACAAGACTGAACGCGAATCGCATTCACCGGACAGTGAAAATAAAACTCTCCTTGCTTGTGACAGAAGTCCAGTGCACAAAGATCACCGCAGTCACGGGGGCTTGAACTATTGTTCTGAACAGTCTCGGGTTTCCCAGAAAAGCGCGATAGAAAGCGATGGCCACGTGGTGGCACATGACAAAACTCAGGGGTTAACGAAAGATAGGAAACCAAAAGATACCGTCTTGGTCGCAAGAGGGACCACGGAGACCTCTCGCCAGCCAATTCAGAAAGAAACTGTGGTGGCTCAGACATGTGCCGATCAGCCAGCCGCGAAGCAGGATCAGAGGGGCTGGTGTAACCCTTTGCAGCACAGAGCCCGGCAGCTCCCTCCTCAAACAGCGAATCTTCCCGAACATTCTGCTCATTATCCAGAAAGCAGACCAGGGGTTTCGTACGGTTATCACGCCGACCCCTCAGTCACCGGGGTTCAGAGGTTTCTGGAATCCCTGAAAACGCCTTACAAGCTGGAACTGAAAAATGAGCCGGGCAGAGCACACTTGAAGCATATCATAATAGACGGCAGCAACGTGGCAATCTCGTGAGTATGGGTTTGGGTTTTTCGTTTTGAGAGTGGTTCAGAGCGAAACCGGGGAGGGGGAATTACCCCAGAGCGTGGACATTTGGAGTGTCAGGTTGAGTGTAGTGAGAAGCATGTGAAACTGAAGGTGCCGCCTGTATTCTCGGTCAGGTTTGAGACAGCGAGCCTTTTTTGGTGTTCTCCAGTGATGAGTAAGTTCCAGGGGAGATAAGGTGGAAATGACAAGCTTGCCGAATTGCCGGTGTCAGCCACCTTGCCTGCCCAGTCACATGCACACAGCAGGTCCCTGATCTCTTTGATGGACCAGGCGTGAGGTGCCCGGAAAGCTCACGGTGCCTGCTCGGGCGCAGTTCAGCCGCCTTTCCCCGGTAACTTTTGGGTGAAGGAATGGGATTGTCTTGCTGAGTGCGACATCACATTTGGGTTATCCTTAGCAAACTTAATACTGGCACTGTCTTTAAAAGGCATCCTTGCTATTGCCGCTGGTCGGGCACAATACCTGGCTTCTTCATGGTGCTTTCTGCTGCCGCTCCCTCTGCTACCGGTTCACCCCATGTGTCATTAAATATTTTGACATCCCAAAGGATATGGGCCTTGGCTGTATCCGAGAGCTGCCCCTTGGTGCCAGCTTCAAGACTTGGCCTTTCCGGACTCTCCTTTTAATCCATGTCCACCGCGGTGTCCTCCAAGCAGTTCTGCACTGAAATCGAATCCAACCTTTTAATCCAGGGTTCTCCCCCTCATCCCCCCCATTCTGCACTAAAATCAAGTTCAACTTTTTTAAAATGCCGGGTTCTTTCCCTGTTCTGCATTATGTCACCACCTTTCAGCGGTCAGCCTGGTTTTCAGCCTGCTGTTGCCCCGGGTTATTTGGATGCTGTTTTGCCACTGACTTAAATTGCCTCTTTGTCAGGGCCTGGTAGAAAGAAGCCGGGCGAACAACATGAAGATCCTCTCGTGTGTCAGACTCCCATCGCATCAACGAAGTACACACTTGTAGGAAAAGGTTTTACTTTATTTGAAGCAATAGGTGCATAACAGGATCACTGTTCGGAATGAGGCAGAAGCATGGATCCCAATAGATTATAGTAAATTCAACAAGCTGAGGCCCAATTGCAGGACTTCCCGCGCGCGCCATTGAGCCTGGGAAGCAACGCTTCTAGATAATCATAACATACTGCTTCTTAGACCATGGAGATCCCCCAAGCTACTACCCGCCAGCAACCACCTGTGGCCTTGAGAGATACGGACGTTCCTGCAACTAGGCAATTAAGCGCATAAACAGGCATACATGGGAAAGCGAAAGCAAACAAGCACATACATAGAGATAGGAAAACACATTGGCAGCTTGCTGACATCGTGCCAGGTTTGTCTTTCCCGTGTGCAAAGGGAAAACGATAAATCACGGGGGTGGGGTGAGGAAGAGAGAGCCTCTGCTGATCCTAGGGGCCCTCCGAAATGTCCAGACTCGACAGCCGAACTTCAGCCTTGGTGGTGTTCAGATCCAGTTCCAAACTGTTATATTTGAATAACCTGCTGTTGCCTCTTAAATTGGCAGGGTGTCAGGCCTTCCCCGTGGCAGCCGTTTGCCTCTGTCTTCCCCACGAGGTCCAGCTTTGTTAGTTGCCTCACAGCACCTTAAGGTCACCGCGGCCCTTTGTTCCTCTGTATTCCCCACTTAAAAAAAAGAAAAAGAAAGAAAAACCTGCTTTTAAAAACCGTTATTTAAGGTTTTATGTATAAGTGGCGGGGCTGGTTTTTCTCTTGCACCAAAAATGTAAATAAGGACCTTTAATGATACAGTAGAATCCTTTCACAATCTGGAGACGGTCCAGCTGCTGTCGAAACAAATGGAAGTTGCACAAGCACCGCACTCGTGCTGTGGAGCAAGCTGGTTTTACTTTAACGATATCTGCACATGGAAAACAATACTGGTGGGTTGTGCCTTCTTTGTGGGGGGGGGGATGTGAGAGGGCAGTTACCGTCCCTGCTCCATGATGTGTAGGGTCTCTGCATTCGCTGACAGTAAAATTGCAGAATTACAGTGTTGTCCAAATTGTGGCCATAAATGAAATGTGTTTTATTTATTTACGTTATCCCAAAAGTTTCTTAACAAAGACCAAGTCCAGCATCCAGGTCTCAAAAGCTTCCCCGGGAGTAATCGAAGGAGAAGTCTGAACTCTCTTCCTCTTAACCAGTGTTCCCTCTAGCTCACACTTTTTCAGCCTCCGGCTCACATATTTTTGTCTTAGCTCAGGAAGGATGGCTCCAGACCAGTGTTCCCTCTAAGCTGAGTGAGTGTGAGCTAGCTTACCGTTTTTCAGCCTCCGGCTCACACATTTTTGTCTTAGCTCGGGAGGGATGGCTCCGGAGCAAACTCATTTATGCAGTAGCCAAATCACTTGCTCATGGCTTTAATGCCCGTAGCTCACAAAGTAGAATTTTTGCTCGCAAGACTCCACGGCTTAGAGGGAGCATTGCTCCAGACGAAGCTAATTTATGCAGCAGCCAAATCGCTCGCTCACAACTTGAATGCCAGTAGCTCACAAAGTAGAATTTTTGCTCACAAGATTCCAGTTTAGAGGGATTAACCCGGATTGTCTAGCAGGCCCTTCTGAAAAAGGAGTTCCACAAGGAAAGCTTGAAAGAAAAGAGAGTCCTGATCTTAATGGAAACCAGCCCCCCCCCCCCCGTCGTTTGTTTTAGGTGGGAGGAACCTGATTCTGTATGTATGTCCCCCCCCCCCTTCGTGGCTGTTTTTATTTGGGAGGGGGATTTGGGAATAAATAACCTTCTCGGTTTCAAGTTCTCCCTTGCCCCAAAACTGCCTCCCCCCACTGGAAAATGAGGTAGGCATCGCTGCCCGGTTTCTTGTCCCGCCGATTCCCCGTGTCCCTCAGACTTGATATCACAGTTGAGATGGCCATGCCACTACCTCATCCTGTAACCAGGTTTCCCAACGGCCCGGATGTAGACGTTTTGAACCTCGCCTGTTCCACAGAAGAACCAGCCACTTGCAAAGGCTACAGGCTAGCCTGTAATAGGCGTCTCTTTCAGCGCCCTTCAAAACGTCAACACCAACACTTGAATTGTTCCTCTGAATTTAAATAGGGTATGAATGGAGCTTCTTTCGTGGGCAGAGGTTGGGGCAGGAGATCCTAAATCCCAGTGCCAGGATCCAAGAAGTGAAGGAACTAAATGAACACGGCTGGCTTTGGACTCCATTGCAAAATGGGGACGGGTGGAGGGGAAACTTCAAATTGTGATACGGGGGAGATGGAAGGTATCTGCCATTTGAAGGCAGGGGAAAGAAGCACCCCCTTTCACCCTTGAAATGTTGTGTGAGCCACTCATCCCAGTTGCCTGTGTAAAATAAACAGCCAACATCATGGGACTTTGTTAATGCTTTGAACTGTCAGCTTTTCTGCCCCACTGGACTGTCTTCTAAGTGGGAAAACCTGTTGCTGGCCCTGCAAGTGGGTGGCCGTAACGTGATGGTTTCCTCATTCTTCAGAAGGCTGAGAAGACAGTGATGTAAAACGAAAGTCCATATTGTGATTCATCTTAAATTCCAGGCAGATTTTCCCCAAACTAGAAGTAACGGGGAAAGCTATGCAAATAGTTGATGCCGTGTAATAACTGAATGCACCATCTGTAACTCACTTTTTAAGGAAGTGTGTGGCCTTTACAAGGGTTTCTTGGGCTTTCGCAGTGATTCAGGAAAGGTGAACTTGGTACATGTTCAATGTGTAAAAATGGCCAAAGTGTGTAGACATACAGGGTCGCTGTGGCCTGTGATGGTTTTTATTTTTAAAAAAGGTATGTGGAGGTTACTTGTTCTTTCTTGGGAGTTTAGGTTTCTTTTTTTTTTCTTTATATTTTTTAATATGTGAGTGTGTTTGCACCTGGAAGTCATGGCGACCTCTGGTGACTGACCCCTACTGGTGGCCTGGAGGATATTCAGGGAGGTGGTGTAAAGCCTGCCCCCGCCTCTGGTATTCTATGGAGGTCTCCCATCTGACTAGCCAGAGTCGACCCTGCTTAGCTTCCAAGATGTGACGAGATCTGTATAGAATATACCTAAGGATGTCCAGCTCCCTAGGACTCTAACAATCACAGCATACATTTTTTTTTATCCTAAATTAAAGTGGACTGTAAATCTGTAGTCTCTGGCCTCTAGTCTCTAAGCTTAGAATCCCAGAGCCAGGAGGCAACACTAGGGCAAGGCCTCGGCCTCTATGCCCTGTTGTTGGCTTTCCAGAGGAACTGCTTGGCCACTGTGTGAGGCAGGATGCTGGCCTAGATGGACCACTGGTCTGATCCAGCAGGGCTCTTCTGATGTTCTTATGAAGGCCTCGGCCTCTCTGCCCTGTTGTTGGCCCTCCAGAGGAACTGGTTGGCCACTGTGTGAGACAGGATGCTGGACTAGATGGACCACCAGTCCGATCCAGTAGGGCTCTTCTGATGTTCTTATGAAGGCCTCGGCCTCTCTGTCCTGTTGTTGGCCCTCCAGAGGAACTGCTTGGCCACTGTGTGAGGAAGGATGCTGGACTAGATGGACCACCAGTCTGATCCAGTGGGGCTCTTTTTATGTTCTTATCAGGGAAGGCCTCCGCCTCTCTTCCCTGTTGTTGGCCCTCCAGAGGAACTTGTTGACCACTGTGTGAGGCAGGATGCTGGACTAGATGAGCCATTGGTCTGTTCCAGTAGGGCTCTTCTTGTGTTCTTATGTTGCTTACTGACAGATCCGCCCCCGTGATCCAGGTAGATCGCTTTTCTGAGCAGTGACTCATGCAGGTGTGCAGTGAACAGCCTCTTCAGAGAAGAGAGACTTCTGCAGAGGCATCTCTGCCTTAGGGCTCACCGACTGATCTAATCATGCTGCAGCGTTTTGGCAAAATTACCCTCCCCGCAACAGAGGCTGGTTGAGCAGAGGGAAGGCTAGTGCGGTGATTCGTGCAGGCCTCTGTGGCCAAATGCTTTTGGGCTCACGGGAGCCTTTTAATTCTTTAGCTGCTCCCAGTGTACTAGTGTGACCTCTGTGCACTATCTGCAAATTGCCGGTCTACCATGGCCAAACCGTTCAAAATTTGTGACGCTTAAAGAGAGGGCAAAAAATAGAAAGGGGTAGTGGGTGTTGTGTCTTGTGCAGATTATCCCGGAAATCTAAAGTGTTGCTGAAAAGCACAGTGACAACATCACTGTATTGTGAACGTGCTCGTCATGCTGGAGTGGTTAGTGCAGCAGTTTTCAAGTTCCCCAGGCCTGCAGCCTACCTTTAATCTCTACCCTGAGGCAGGGGACCTATTTTAAAGCATCCTGTATAGGACCAAGTCCTGTGAGGAAAGGCTGAGGGACTTGGGAATGTTCAGTCTGGAGAAGAGGAGGTTGAGGGGGGACAAGATTGCTCTCTTTAACTATTTGAAACGCTGTCACTTAGAGGAGGACAAGGCGCTGTTCCTGTTGGCAGCAGAGGACTGGACTCACAATAATGGGTTTAAATTAAGGATGGGAAGGAACCGGCTGGATGTTTGTTGTTGTTGTTCAGTCGCACAGTCGAGTCTGACTCTCCGCGACCCCATGGACCAGATCACGCCAGGCCTTCCTGTCTTCCGCCGTCCTCTGAAGTTCGCTCAATTTCATGTTCGTTGCATCTATGACACTGTCTAACCATCTCATCCTTTGCCGTCCCCGTCTTCTTTGACCTTCAATCTTCCCCAGCATCAGGGTCTTCTCCAGGGAGTGCTCCCTTCTCATTTGGTGGCCAAAGTATTTGAGCTTCAGTTTCATTATCTGGCCTTCCAGGGAACAGTCAGGGTTGATTTCTTTTAGGATTGACTGATTTGATCTTCTTGCAGCCCAAGGGACTCTCAAGAGTCTTCCCCAGCACCATAGTTCAAAATAATCTATTCTTGGGCGCTCGGCCTTCCTTAAAGTCCAACTCTCGCAGCCATACATGACTACTGGGAATACCAACGCTTTGACCATGCGGACTTTTGTTGGCAGGGTGATGTCTCTACTTTTTATCATGCTGTTTAGGTTCGCCATCGCTTTCCTCCCAAGGAGCAGACGTCTTTTAATTTCATGGCTGCTGTCACAGTCTGCGGTGATCTGGGATCCCAGGAATGTGAAGTCTGTCACTACTTCCACGACTTCCCCTTCTATTTGCCAAGGAGTGATGGGGCCGGATGCCATGATCTTAGGTTCTTTGATGTTGAGAAGCCCACTTTTGCGCTCTCCTCTTTTATCCTGAGCAAGAGGCTCTTAAGCTCCTCTTCACTTTCTGCCATTAGAGTAGTATCTTCTGCATAGCTGAGGTTGTTGATCTTTTTCCCAGCAATTTTAATTCTCGCTTGTGATTCATCCAGGCCAGCATTTCGCATGATGTACTCTGCATATATATAGAAAAACTATTTTAGAGACAGAGTTGTGCAACAGTGGAATCAGCTGCCTAGGGAGGTGGTGAGCTCCCCCTCCCTGGCAGTCTTCAAGCAGCGGCTGGACAAACACTCATCAGAGATGCTCTAGGCTGATCCTGCGCTGAGCAGGGGGTTGGACTAGATGGCCCATGTGACCCCTTCCAATTCTGTGATTCTGTGATTCTTTATTATTTTTATGATGTTGGCTTGTACCCATGCAACCTCCAGAAAATAAGTTGAAACCCAGTGTAGTGTAGCTTAACTCGCATGTTAGTGGACAGAGTGGTGTTTAGGGTGATATAACATATTTCTGCCCTCTGTAATTCAAAAGATTCTAGGAGGCCTATGATAAAAACAGACGTAAACTCATTGTTCTTTCTTTTTTTAAAAAAAAAAATAAGCAACAGTTGAAGCAGTTCTCAAAGGGCCTGGTCTAAATGATAAACAGTCACTTCTAAATCTACAGCCAATCCCAAAAAGCTCGGGGTTCTCGTCAGGGTAAAAGGAGAGCATTTGTTGCCTGTATGTCAAAGAGTGCCATAGGAATAGTCAGTGCTTATGCGCCACTGCTTGTCCTGATTAACCTGTCGCCTTTGGCTGCTCGCCAATCAAAGATCAGCAAACATTACTGCCCCCCCTTCTTTGTTTCCCCCCACTTTATCTTCCTATTCTGCAGTCATGGTCTAAACAAGTTCTTCTCCTGTCGGGGGATTGCAATCGCAGTTGAATATTTCTGGAAGCGCGGCCACCGAAGGATTACTGTGTTTGTCCCGCAGTGGCGAACGAGGCGGGACCCTTCTGTCACAGGTAAGGCCAAGGAGGGGACTCTTCCTGCCATCAGGGTGACATCATCCAAAAGATGACGCCACTTGAATGGGTTCAATCCCTCAAATCAGTTCCGCTAGAAGAGAGGCTTTCCTCCAGTGGAAGGGAAGTCACCTTTTGGTGCTTAATATGAATTAGGTAAAGGTCTCCCTTGCTCGAAAGCCAGTTGAGTCCGACTCTAGGGATGCAGTGCTCATCTCCGTTTCCAAGCCGAAGAGCCAGCGCTGTCCGAAGACTTCTCCGTGGTCATGTGGCCGGCATGACTAAACGCCAAGGCGCACGGAACGCTGTTACCTTCCCACCGAAGCGGTACCTGTTTATCTACTTGCAGTTTCTTGCTTTTCAACTGCTAGGTTGGCAGGAGCTGGGACCAAAGACGGGAGCTCACTCCGTCACGCGGCACTCGGGTCTCAAACTGCCGAGCTACTGACCTTCCAGTCTGCAACTCAGCGTCTTAACCTCTGGACCACCACAGTCCCCAATATGAATTAAACAGCTTTAATTTGCAAAAAAAGAAATCTGACACGTTGGTGGCCCGTACCAGTCTTGTTTGGGAAACGTCCCGCCCTCCGTAGCACAAAAACTGCTCATCTCGGGGGTCCGTCCTGGCTCATCTGGCTCTGGATCCTGAATGGTCTAGTGCTGTGGCACGGTTGCTTCATTGCATTAACTCCTGAGACCCAAACGTGAATAAGCAGCACGTGAAGCTCTTCTTCCATCCTGCGCTGTGTGAGAATTCCGTGGGAGGGGGAAGTAGGGGATATGCGCCGCGAGGCAGTCTCCTGAACCCTGATCTCATCTCTGTTCCAAATTGTCAAGAGATTTGTCCTGTTCACAGTTAGAAGAATCCTTGGGAATGGAGTGAATGTACAGTTCTGGTCGCCGCACCTCAAAAAGCGATACTATAGCATTGGGGAAAGTGCAGAAACGATTTAAGGGGATGGAACACCTTCTTTATGAAGAAAGATCAAAGAGGCTGTGGCTCTTTAGCTTGGGGAAACGATGACAGGGAGGTGACGTGGTAGAGGTTTGCAAAATTAGGCATGGGGTAGAGCAGGTAGAGAAAGAAGTACTTTTTCTCCCTTTCTCATAATACAAGAACTTGTGGGCACTCAATGAAATTGATGCGCAGTAAGCTTAGAACAAATAGAAGTACTTCTTCAGTAATTAATGTTGGGGGAATTTAAGAGTCCAGGAGCTATTCCTAGGAATCCCGTCCCCACTGACGGGGGGGGGGGGGGTGATGGCAGGAACCCCATAGCTTGAGAGAAGAAGAAGAAGAAGAGATTGGATTTATACCCCGCCCTTCACTACCCAAAGGTGTCTCAGAGCGGCTTACAAACTCCTTTCCCTTCCCCTCCCCACAACAGACACCCTGTGAGGTAGGTGGGGCTGAGAGAGCGCTGACAGAAACTGCTCTTTTTCAAGGACAGCTCTTATCAGAACTATGGCTTGCCCAAGGTCATCCAGCCAGGTGCAAGTGGAGGAGTGGGGAATCATACCCAGTTCTCCCAGATTAGAGTCCGTGCACTTAACCACTACACCAAACTGGCTCTCCTGGAGAGAGAGAGAGAGAGAGAGCCTGTTCCAAAGTTAGAACCATTTATTGAAAGAAAACCATACTGCACAATTTTTCAAGCAAGTAGCAATTTCAGTATTCATCTTACAGAAGGGAACAGACAAGCCAATACTTACAAACAAATAGTGCGCTTATTATTCATTTAGGAATTATTATCTATTAAGGAATGCATTCCGACCACTCCGGCAAGACCTCAACCACAGTGTTGGCAGAGAGGGCCCTTAGCGTCTCAAACGCTGGTGTTAAATACCTTTAGAATCCAGATTAGCTGTCAATCGAGAAATCGGAAGGTCCTGACAAAAAAACCCAGACCCTCTCCCTTTTCTTACCAGAGAACTCTGACTGGAGTCGTATTACTAGGTTAAAAACACCCTCCCTGTCAAGGCAGGAGCTTAGAGCCACAGGTCCTCATATCTAGATGTTTTGGCTTCGAGGCTGGAACTCAGAAATGTAAACAGTTCTTTTAGAGCAGAGTGCAGGGTGCATTCTCAGGCTGAACAGCCTCCTGCAATGCCTTATGGGAGGGAACCAAACAGAGAGGCGAAGCTAATTCATGCTGTTGTACAGAACTGCCCCAGGCTCGCTTATAATTCCGCCACAATTAACATGTGGAATTCACTGCTGCAGGAAGTGGTGGCGGCTTCAAGAGGGGTTTGGATAAATGTATGGAGCAGAGGCCCAGCAGTGGCTATTAGCCACAAGGTATAGATGTCTGGGGCGGTGATGCCCTGTATTCTTGGTGTCTGAGAGGCGTGGGAGGACTTCTGGAGTTCTGGCCTCACTGGTGGACCTCCCAACGGCACCTGAGTTTTGGCCACTGTGTGACACACAGTGTTGGACTGGATGGGCCATTGGCTTGATCCAACACGGCTTCTCTCATGTTTCTGTGTAAAACAGTTTTTTCCTCCCCAGGGAGAATTATAAGCTGCTCGAGGGTCCTACCAGGCCAACCTGTGTTCCTTTTTTATTCTTCAAGTGATGGTTTATCTCAAACCTGACATCCCATCCCACTGGAGGGCCACCATTACATTCCTTATTCATTGGCTTGTGTTGGGGTTGGAGGAAAATCTCTTCTAGGTTAAATACTAATCAGGGCTCTTTTTGTAGGAGGAGCTCCTTTGCATATTAGGCGACACACCCCTAATGTAGCCAATCCTTTTTGTCTTAGCTCAGGAAGGGATGGCTCCAGAGCAAACTAATTGATGCAGCAGCCAAATCGCTCGCTCACACCTTTAATGCCAAGAGCTCACAAAGTAGAATTTTTGCTCGCAGGACTCCACAGCTTAGAGGGAGCCTTGGATATGTTCCGAGCGTTCAGAAGCCCGCTGCGTAATGGATAGGTACAGGAAACATAAAATTTACGACGAGAAGAACTGAGAACGATGACACGCCAGAGCCCGTTCCCAGCATTCTGTTTCCTGTATTTCCTAACGTTCCGTTCATTGTGAACAGCCCCAAAACTGCCCTTTTTTTTAAAGAGTACTGTTTTATTCTTTTTTCTCTCTCCCTCCTCTATTAACCTAGAACAGCACTTCTTAACCCAGCTCCAGGATATTGGTATTTTGGCCCTCACTCCTGCAAGAGTTGTTTTGGGAGCCAGGATCGCGTCTCACGATGACAGGTAATAGATCACTTAATTACATTTTTTTTCCCCGTGCCTTCTGGCTGGTAGTTGGAGAGCTCCTGTTACTGAGGGGGAAATCAGAAGCTCAGCTTTTGTCTCAGCGAAGAGGGGTCTCCATTTGGGATCTACAAATACGTCGCCCTGCGTCGGCCGGTTTGCGTGTATTGGCTGGGTCTCGCAAAGGCGCTTTCTTCCAGTGGAAGGAGCCCCTCCACCCAATGTAGGATTGCATCGAGGAAGGCTCCTTCTGCCAGAGGAAAGGGCTTCTTCTAGTGGAACCAGATCCACATGACCCAGTGCTTGCCTTGTCACGTGACGATGACTCGAATGTGCGAATACTTAACCGCCGGTAAAATTGTAATGTCCCACAGCACTCCAGAGCTGTGCAGTGGGGTTGCATTCTTGCACTAAGCTCCAAGTTGTGAAAACGTTGCTCAATTGAATAATACATGCGTGTTTGTCAATCGGCCAAATGGCAAGGAAGATGCCTCTCTCTTTCTTTGGTATTTTTTGTATTTTTCATGTGTGTGTGTCTGCACCTGGAAGTCATGGCGACCTCTGGTGACTGACCCCTACTGGAGGCCTGGAGGATATTCAGAGAGGTGGCCGAATGAAGCCTGTCCCCACCTCCCGCCTCTGGTATTCCAAGGAGGTCTCCCATCCGATCACACCAGAGTCGACCCTGCTTAGCTTCCAGGATCAGACAAGATCAGGCTTGCCTGGGGGCTATCCAGGTCAGGGAAGGAAGATGCCTCTTGCAGTGTACTGCTGGAGTATAAACCCTTCAGCTTTCATCGGTGGTATCTATAGACCTAGCATGGGCAGCAAGACAAATATGCTTGACTCTGAGTTGTGCACGTCACCAAAGTATTGCATTTGCGGGGCACAAAATACATCCCAAAGTGCTTCCATTGCTGTCTTACCTAATTCAGGAATTCATAGCAAGTTTAAAAGTTGTGCGGTTCTTTGGATGCCATCCTTGCTGTGGTACTTGTTCCTATTTAAATTTAGACCAGCCCAATTCTGTACAGGACCTGCTGCACCATAGGGGGCATACCGGCCTCTTCTTGCGAGTGGTGCTTTGTGGCTTCGGGTGGGCCACGCACCCCGGACTGTCTTACGGGGCGGCATTTGGCACGCTGCTCAGGTGCAGCATCTTTATCAGGCTTCAGTTGGCCATGAGTCGTAAGCTCTTTTTGGAGCCCCATTGGGGGGAACAGCAGGATCAAAATGAATAAATCTCTTCTCAACTAAACCCTCCTAGGTTTTTGCTCCATCTGGCCGAGAGAACTGACGGGGTGATCGTGACCAACGATAATCTGAGAGAATTTATAGATGAATCGACGTCCTGGAGAGAAATCATTCAAAGGAGGTAAATTTTGTTTGTTTTTGTTTGCAGATTTGGGGTGGGGGGGTAACATGCCTCGTTAGCTGTAGAAAACCTCATTAAGCGTAGAATATCAAAAGGAATAGTGTGTGCACTTGCAGAAAGCAGCCACAGGGGCTACAGAGGGCAGCCACGTGGACTTTCCCGCTACAAGTGGCCTCCCCGCCCAATCTTTTTTTATTATTATTATTTTATTACATACAACATACAATAAAAAATATTGATACAGTAACAACAAAAGGGAGAAATTAACTTTCCAAACAGTATCTTGTTGACAAACATAACAACTATAGCTACATCAAACGAATAGATAATTAACATCAAAACTAAAGGTTATACAATATCAGTAACCTGCAATTTAACCTAATGAAACATGTATAGTGGCAAGGCATTTGTCCAAGGATTACGTGGCCTGTGCATCATAAACCTGTTTTGTTTAGCTAGCAAAACCTTCCATTTGTTCATCGGGCTTTGAGTGCTTTCGATTCGATTATGCTGGGCAGACCATTCAGCAATTTTGTCATCAATCAGATATTCCCATAGTTTAGTGTACCAATGGGGACAGCCTGGGTTTTCCAATTCTTTGCAATGATACACTTCGCTGCAGTTAAAAGTACCGAAATCAGTTCTCTTATCGACTTTTGGATACCCGTTTTGGGCCACAAATTAAGGAGGATTAGAGCAGGGTCTTTTGGAATCTTACAAGTTGTTAGTATTTTTATCTCTGTTAAAATCACATCCCAGAAACTTGAAATTGTGGGACAGTTCCACCAAGTATGGTAGTACTCCCACCCGATCTGCTTTTTTTTCCCTTCGGGATAAAAAATATGGGTGATATGCACCCAAAGAGAGAAGGAAAAATGTTTCCTGGGGTAATAGAACATGTCTATTTCTAGAGCAAATGCTAGATCCAGGTGGGCAGCCGTGTTGGTCTAAAGCAATAGAACAAAATTAAGAGTCCCGTGGGGCACCTTTAAGACCAGGAGTGGCCAAACTGTGGCTCGGGAGCCACATGCGGCTCTTCCACACCTATTGTGCGGCTCCCGGCAGGGCAGCTGGGGAAGCGAAATATCATTAGCAAACAAATAGCATTGGACACATAAATATCGTTATCAATATCTGATTTTACCGCTTTTGCTATTGTTTTTGGCTGTCTCCTTTAATGTTAATAAAAAGCAAATCTGCATATTTCCCAGGAAAAATTTGTAATTTTGTAATATTTGTTCATGTCTCGCGGCTCTCAAACGTCTGACATTTATTCCGTGTGGCTCTTCCATTAAGCAAGGTCGGCCACCCCCGTTTAAGACCATCAACGTTTTATTCAAGGTGAAAGAATTGAATATTACCAAAAGAACTTTATTTTTGTATTTGATTACTACTGCAAGAATGGCCTATGCGCAAAATTGGAAACAAGATAAAATACCAGAAAAATGGGACTGGATTTTAAAAAGTTGTGTTTATGGCAGAAATGGGCAAAATCACAAGAAAGCTAAATAACCAAGAGGATGAAGATTTTTTTGAAGAGTGGAAAGATTTTAAACAATACTTGGAAACCAATTGGGGTGTTACTAACAATTTATTGTGTTTTGAAGATTATTAAATGGTGTATTCTACAGCTAAATAGAATGTAATTACCTGACGATAAGATACAAGATATAGAATGTATTGAGTAAAAAATAGAGTGAATAGATAACTGGATATAAGCATTGCGGGAAGCCAAGTGAAGGGGTGGTGTAGGGGTGTAATAGAAAATGGGATATTTGATTTGTCTACTAAAATGTGGAAATGTTTGAGATGGAATGTAATATCCCAACAATAAAAGTTGTTTTAAAAAAAAAAGTTTTATTCAAGGTGTGAGTCTTTGTGTGCGTGCACACGAAGGCTCACATCTTGAATAAAACTTTGTTGGTGATAAAGGTGCCACTGGACTCTCAAGAGCAAATCATTGATGTGATGACCGGAATCTTCCAGTGGGTCGAGACAAATACTTTATAGGTCTCCATGCGGCAAATCGAAGAATCGGTCATAGCTTGATGGCTCTTCCCAAACTGATAATGTCTCTGGATGACCCGCGCAGTTTGGATGAGGAGGAACGTAAGGTGTAAGCCAGGGTAGAAGGTGTCAAAAGGGGAAGGTGGGCCAGGGATGAAAGGGTTCGGTATCCAAGCAAAATCCTGTCTTCCTGAGAAGACCCATTGATATCAATTATGCATCACGTCAAAATGGAAGAGATCCGTTTGCAATTCAGCCTCTTTGCAGTCACTTCCAAATAGGTTTCCCAAGTAGTTTTTCCGGACTGGCATACTTCCTGGGGTTACCTTTAGGTCAGGCCGTGACCTTGTGTATAAAATGCTATCTGGAGTGATGTTAAAAAGTGAAGGGTGGTTTGCGCCTGTCGTTTCTGACCACCGAACTGCCCCTCCGAGAGAGAGGACTGGGGTGCTAACAGTGGGTGGCGAAAGCCCTGTCAAGTCGCAGCTGACTGACGGCGACCCTGTAGGGTTTTCAAGGCAGAGGTGGTTGGCCATTGCCTGCCTCTGCATCGCAACCTTCGACTTCCTTGCTGGTCTCCCATCCAAATATTAACCAGGGCCGGTCCTGCTTAGCTTCTGAGATCTGATAAGATCGGGTTAGCCTGGGCCACCCATGGCAATAGGTCGATGGTTTAGAACAGAAACCTAAGGACTGCTCTCCTTACTACTCTTCTGCCTTCCCTGACCCCCTCCTGTGTTTCAGGCTGCTGCAGTACACTTTTGTTGGAGACATCTTTATGGTTCCTGATGATCCGATGGGGCGGAATGGACCGGGATTGGAAATCTTCCTCCAAGACGAGCCCCGTGTCAGGTATCGCATTTCCTTATCCTGAAGCTGTGACTTTTAAAACACTTTACCTGGTGGATCGTGCAAGGTGTTAGGAGCCTTAATGTCTAAGGCAATAAGCAATCGTACTGCATTTAACCTGCTATCGGAGTTGTTGACTTCATAATATTTGTGTATTGCCATTTGTACCCATTCTCTTACAGTTGTTTCTCTTTCCAATATTATGGGAGGTTCTCTTCCCCCCCCCTCCTGCCCTTCAAGAGAACTTTGTTATTGTTACTTCACTGTTTGCACTTTTGCACACGACAAACCACGTATTTTAAGGCTAAATGTAACTGGGGCAGCCTTTGCAGGGCTGAAAAGTTATGCGAGTTGCAAAAAGGCAGTAGGTCAGGACAAGCAGCGGCTTTGCAGGAGGATGTGTTTATCTTCCGTTTCCACAGCTGGCTCACGGTCATCACACAGCATGGGGGGGGGGGGGCGTGTGTAAAACTGGGTCAGAACTTTGAGATAAACAAGGCAGGCCTCGGTCATGTCCTCTGAGGTTTAGATTGTGGTGGTTTTCACACCAGTGAGGCAGATCGCATGGCGTCATGAGGGTGCAACAGAGATGGCGTTTCACTTAGAGCCAATCAGTTGGTGTCTGACCCGGGGAGATAAGCAAGATCTATGTCACTGGGTATACCCACAGCAAGATTGATGTGACTCTCTGTGCTGCTTGGTGGATTCCGCTGTTCGTAAAATGATACCTGATCTGAAACTTACATATGTTCAACTGCTGTAGTGGTTTGTGGCATTTGAAGGGGAGAAAGTACTGCCATTCAGTGTTTCAGGATATTTCTATAACAAAACTCTGTGGCGCTTTGGAGCTCGATGTAGCTTCCCGATGGTCGAACACCAGTCGTTTAGGTGTAGCTGGCCAAGAGCTTAAGACGCTGAACTGCAGGGTGTGGAAGGTCAGTAGTTCAGCAGTTCTAGACTCGGGTGCCGCATGACGGAGTGAGCTCCCATCTCTAGTTCCAGCTTTTGCCAACCTAGCAGTTCGAAAGCAGGAAATTGCAAGTAGATAAATAGGTACCACTTTGGTGGGAAGGTAACAGCGTTCCGTGCGCCTTGGTGTTTAGTCATGCCGGCCACATGACCACGGAAACGTCTTCGGACAGCGCTGGCTCTTCGGCTTTGAAACGGAGATGAGCACCGCATCCCTAGAGTAAGATTCGACTGGCTTTCGAGCGAGGGAAACCTTTACCTTTACAACGGAGGAGGGCAAAGGCTACAGTGGAGGAGGGGGCCGTGGGTCCACGTTTTACCTTTTCTTCTTTATACTGTGTAAAAAAAAGGTTTAAGGGGAAGGGTTGGGTTTAGAGGCAGTATGGCACAGAACCCTCACCCCTAATTTTATCTCCCCCATTCTGGAATCTGGGGCTTAAAACGTCTTGGGTTTGTGTGATGAAGATCAGAGGAAAAGCGCATTCCCTGATGCTGTTTAATCGCCCAGCCAGGGATCTCTGTGCATCAAAGTTGTCTCTTTTGCTTGGAGGGTGGGTGGGGTTGGGGGAATTTGTGCTTCATGGTTCACGTGTGCTAACCCTGATCCTCCCCTCCAGGGTACTGCACACTGAATGGCCTGACCATTCTTTTGTTCTTGAACTTACAAAATAATATCGGTCGGCATATCTGGGAAGTCCACAGATTTAAACAAAACCCTCTACTGAGTAACTTTGATTTGGTGGCCTACTGATACCGGGTTAAAGACGACATGCCTGTTGGAGTAATTCTGAGCGTTTGTAGTACCTTAGTGTTCAAAGTCCTTCATGTTTATCAGCAGCGAAACGGATTGAAATATACAGCTGTCCTGTGGTTTCCTATGCGTTTTTAGTGGCTTTTTACATTGTGACATTGTTTTAATTGTGAGCCACCCTGGAGCAGGACTCTAAAGAGGTGGCCTAGACATATCCTGAATAAATATTATGGAGGAGACACATAAGGTAATTTGTGATCCAGAGAACGACAGGAGGGAAATGAAATAGAACGTGACTATAGATAGTTCTCTAGATGCTCTAGTTCCCAGTTCATTGAAAAGGGGCCCTTTTGATTCCACCTGGTGGTCCTGACAGATTCATATGAAACTGTCGCTGCCTGTGTGAATTTTATTGTTTGTCATTTTAATGTGATTTTATTGCAGCGAGTCTTGGACTCGGTTTCTCGTGATCCGCCCTGAGCCCGCTTTGGGGAGGGCGGAATAAAAATCTCAAAAATAAATAACTAAGATGGACTGTAGCGGGTTAGGCAAGTGTGAGTTGAGCAAAGATTATGTTTAAGGCAACAGGTTGTTGGTGTACGTTGTATTTAGTAATTGGCCCTTTCTTTGTTCCTTCCATGGTGTGGCTTTATTGGCCGCAGCCTTAAGCCTACACACACTAATGTAAAGAGAAATTTTAAAAGTCTTCTTTTTCCCTTCTGAGCTTAAACTCATCCTTCTCGAACAATGGAGTTATCCACCTCTTTCTATCTTCACTAAATAAAGGGCATTCGAGGATAGTAATTGGTCTTAACTTGTTGTTGGTGGCGCTAAGAGGGAAAACATAAAAGCCCAACTAGCGAGGTTCAAGAGTGATCGGGCACCAGAACAATGCCCGGGGTGTGTGTGTGTGGCTCACTTAGCTGCCAGGGCCTCAATTTGGCACAGATATTATGAGCAAAACATGTTGTCGAAGGCTTTCACGGCCGGAGTTCATTAGCTGTTGTAGATTTCCTTCTCACCTTGACACAGAGAGTACTCCATCTTTCTGTGTTATACCTCTGAGGATGCCAGTCACAGCTGCTGGCGAAACGTCAGGTCCTACAATGCCAAGACCACGGCCATACAGCCCGAAAAAACCAAAGCAGCTAATTATCAGCAAATTCTCATAATTAGCTGGGCATATTAATGTGAATAGAATAATTTTAAATGTAGCACCCACTGATTCGAGACCCTGTTGCCAGTTGGGGTGAGGCAGATGCTGTAGATGCGAAACAAGGTTACGTGTCAGCAAGAAAACAGAAGCCGTAATCTTACATAAACTGCACAGATCTCACCCAGATGTTAAAGAGAGTTGCTTGGGAGGGCTTGTTGTATAGGTCTTTGATAGGAAGTGGGTGGCCACAAGGGACAAGGGACCCTCTTCTGTAGCATTCCGTCAGTTTTGGGACACTCACCCACCACCATCTGCATCTGCCAGGAGAGCCAGTTTGGTGTAGTGGTCAACAGTGGCAGACTCTAATCTGGGAGAACTGGGTTCGATTCCCCACTCCTCCACTTGAAGCCATCTGGGTGACCTTGGGCCAGCCACAGTTCTTTCAGAGCTCTCTCAGCCCCTAAAAACAAGTCTAGATGATCACTAACATAATGCCAAGAGCTAGAACTTGTGGCTGCCAGACAATCTTCGGATCTCCTGGCTATTCTGCACACAGTTCCGTACAATAATTAATTATGTGTTACTTAGTTACTTTGCATTGTGCCTTTTTTTCTTGAGCAGGCTGGTTACTGATCAGAGTCCAGTAGCACATTAGAGACCAGCCAGGTTTTTCAGGGTATGAGCTATCAAGAGAGCCAAAGCTCCCTTTGATATCTCACGAAAGGAGCTCTGACTCTCGGAAACGTATACCCCGAAAACCTTGTCAGTCTCCAAGGCGCTACTGAGCTCAGATGTAGTGTGTGTCGGTGCGGTTCTCCCAAGGCCTTTCATGCCAATAACCAACTCCTCCTCTTGTAAAAGAAAATTACTTTAGTGCTGTTACTGCTGTTGGCTTTTATTGGCCGATTCTGTGGTGGCTCAAGTGGTTAAGACGCTGAACTGCAGGCTGTGGAAGGTTAGTAGTTCAGCAGTTCGAGACCCGGGTGCCGCATGACGGAGTGAGCTCCCGTCTCTAGTTCCAGCTCCTGCCAACCTAGCAGTTTGAAAGCAGGAAATTGCAAGTAGGTAAATAGGTACCACTTCGGTGGGAAGGGAACAGCATTCCATGCACCTTGGTGTTTAGTCATGCCGGCCACATGACCACGGAAACGTCTTCGGACAGCGCTGGCTCTTCAGCTTTGAAACAGAGATGAGCACCGCAACCCTAGAGTCGGATTCGACTGGCTTTCGAGCAAGGGAACCTTTACTTTTACCTTTTTTCCTGCGATTTTACTTTCGCGCACCTCCTTGATGGCCCTACCAAAACAAAGCGGTTTGAAAAGACTGTGAAATCCTGGGTTGGGTGTGGGTCCACTTATATTTATTTATTTATTTATTGGATTTCTTTCCAGCCTGAGCTGGGAAGAAATTTTACATGAAAACATGTAAAATACGTAAAATAAATAAGTTACATTAAAAACATAATTACAGTTAAAACAATTCAGCCATAAAAGTACTAGTAGTTGTTGTTGTCATCAGTTTGGGGGTGGCGGCCATCGTTCAATGTTCTTAGCTCACCGTCAGCTTGCCGTCTTCATTTTTGATGGTTCTTGACGGAATTGATGTCCTTTGGGCTGTCGGTGAAAATTCCAGGAGTCCAGGACCTCTCTCATTCCGTTGTTGGTTGTTAGCTATTGATGGCGGTGGCCCCTGAAAGACTGGTGGAAGATCTCTGTTTTACAGGCCCTGCGGCACTGTAAAAGGTCCCACAGGGCCCTAATCTCCTCTGGGAGTTCATTCCACCAGAGTGGGGCCGCCACCGAGAAAGCCCTGGTCCTTGACAGCTTAGCCTCCTTAAGACCTGGGGGTGGGGGGCCCAGCCGGTTCTGAGCGCCTGATCGTAGTGCTCTCTGGGGAACATGTGGGGGAAGAGACACTGATTAAACTCATAAATCTGTAGGGAGGGGGATTTTGGATTCTCTCGTTTTCATACTCGTCTGAAGGAGCTTAAACTAGATATCATTCCTTGTGTTCCTCAGGGGCATCCCATCCCATAACGGCCTGGCAAGTGGAAAGCTTCCTCGTCCTGGGAAACCACACTTCCTCACGCAGCCCAGCAGTAGCGAACAATCGGCAAACGGCTCGTTATCCTTCTCGCTGTTCCCACCAACACCCCTGCCGAACACAGCGATCCCCCCACATCCAAGATCCGCCGCAGAAACAAGCCACTTAAAAGAAGCCTTGAAAAAAATATTCCCTACCTCTGAGCAGAGGGCGAAGATTGAGGAAATACTTGTGCAGCATCCCCACATGAGAGACATGAACGCACTCTCTGCCATGGTACTTGATTAAGGGCGATGAGCCACGACCCTCGAATTTGCAGTTTGGATTGTTTAATATAAAGATGATTCTAAGCTGGTGCCAGGCCATCTGTGAATAGCCAAAGCTTAATCCTTTTTGTATAAAACCATTGTGAATATTCAAAGGATGTGCGGATACCAGCTTCTCCTTTTTTTCTTACTCATTTAAATTATATTGCTTTTATGACTTTGTATTGATGTTTCAAAAGAGAACAAATCTTTATTTCTGACTGGCTTGCAGTTGTTTACTAAAGCAGTCCTAAATTGCCTGTGAAAGGATAAGATCCGATATCAGGTCTAGGTTCTACTCGGAAGTGACTTCACACCTGCAGTTCAAGTAAATGGACTGTATGTCGGGGGTTAAGAACATAAGAGGAGCCAATGTTGGATCGGGCCAGTGGCCCATCCAGTCCAACACTCTGTCACACAGTGGCCAAACATACCAGGTGCCATCAGGAGGTCCAGCAGTGGGGACACTAGAAGCCCTCCCACTGTTGCCCTCCCCCAAGCACCAAGAACACAGAGCATCACTTGCCCCAGACCGAGAGTCCCTATCTATACCTTGTGGCTAATAGCCACTGATGGACCTCTGCTTGTTTCCACTGTTAACTAAAAATGCCTGTTAGTGCAAGTGATCCATGAAGATTCATCCGTGAGAAGAGGATGGTAGTTAAGCACATTCTGGAATCCAGATGGTAAGTGCCGAGGTCTCCATCTTAAGTGAAAAAAATCTGCCTTACAGTTACCCGTGAGATCGTCCTCCTATTGGGCAGCCTTCTGTGATGCAGCAGAGCTGAAACACAGATGAAAGGTGAGATAATGTTCATGCACTGCTGCCAGTTCCGTGGGTAGACCTGTGGTCTGACTTGGAACGGTAGCTTCTGTCGTTAGATTCTTTGCTAGTTATCAGTTTTAAAAACTGTAGGAGGAAACATCTCTTCCCAGTTTTATGTCGGGGCGGTCCCCTCTCCTTCCAGCCTACATCACCCGAGTGTCTTACACTGTGAAAGGTGTAGGTGCCCAGAGCACATGGATCTTCTCCCTTTGTCGCAGCCACAAGGCGTTTCATTTGTTTTGTAGGACTGACGTCAGACCACCCTTCTTGAAAACTAATTTTAATGATTAAGGGTTTCGTATTTGGATTAATCTTGCAGCACATTGTCAGACTCTTGGACAAAGTTACTCTCGGCGACACTCACTGGAAGCGATTTGTTTATTGTAGAATACAGATGTTACAAGCTAAGAACATCCTTGAGTCAGAACTGAGGTTCTGGTGTGAAACCCCCCCCCCCAATTATACATGGTTCAGAGGTAGCACCCTCCAATTACACTGCCCATTCATTCCCTCCGAACAAGCGCACTTCCAAAAAAAAAACACCCATGAATCACCCATTAGTTACTTAAGATAAGGCGGGGTAAGCACAGACCAAGGCCATCTGGCCATCATCCCTGGGAAAGGGAGAGGCAGCTTCAGAAATGTTACATGAGATGTAAGGTAAAGGTAAAGGTTCCCTTGCTCGAAAGCCAGTCGAGTCCGACTCTAGGGTTGCGGTGCTCATCTCCACTTCAAAGCCGAAGAGCCAGCGCTGTCCAAAGACGTTTCCGTGGTCATGTGGCCGGCATGACTAAACACCAAAGCACACGGAATGCTGTTACCTTCCCACCGAAGTGGTACCTATTTATCTACTTGCAATTTCTTGCTTTCGAACTGCTAGGTTGGCAGGAGCTGGAACTAGAGATGGGAGCTCACTCCGTCATGCAGCACACTCGGGTCTCGAACTGCTGAACTACCAACCTTCCACAGCCTGCAGCTCAGCGTCTTAACCACTTGAGCCACCGCAGCCATTCTCACTCTCACACATTCACACTCCCCCTCTGGAATTTCCCCAACAGTATGGCAAAACGAGTTTGACACACGTGTCTGCAAGCGGGCTCACAGCTGGATGTAAACATTAGATGGGGGGGGGGTGAAGAATCACAACATGCAGCATATTTAGAACAGGTCCTAAACGAATACGTTGCTTATGCCTTTAAAAGAAGGCCTCTGCCATCAAACCACATCCCAATAAGCTTGACACGGTGAACACCGTTTGTTGATATGCTGGTGTGCACACAGCTAAAAGGGAGCTGCGGTGGCTCAAGTGGTTAAGATGCTGAACTGCAGGCTGTGGAAGGTCAGTAGTTCAGCAGTTCGAGACCCGAGTGTGCCGCATGACGGAGTGAGCTCCCGTCTCTAGTTCCAGCTCCTGCCAACCTAGCAGTTTGAAAGCAAGAAACTGCAAGGAGATAAATAGGTACCGCTTCGGTGGGAAGGTAACAGCGTTCTGTGCGCCTCGGTGTTTAGTCATGCCGGCCACATGACCACGGAAACGTCTTTGGACAGCGCTGGCTCTTCGGCTTTGAAACGGAGATGAGCACCGCAACCCTAGAGTCGGATTCGACTGGCTTTCGAGCAAGGGAACCTTTACCTTTACCTTACACAGCTAAAATATTTAGGGGTCAACAAGTGCAATTTCTGAAGGGCCGACTCAATCTTCCATGCCCAAGCTGAGTTCTTGGTCAAACACCGCACTAGAGGGAGCAGGTGACTTTTTCAAGAGAACACTATCCCACCCCCTTTCTTCCCATTGCTTTTGCTGTTCTCCCTCTGTCATGGAAAAACACTGCAGAATAAGCCTCTTGCGGGAGTTTTAGCTCTTCAGGAATTCCCCTGCGGCTCCCAGAATGACGGAGAGATAAACTGGTCTGTTTAACCACAGAAGTGTCTAGCAGCTGTTTCCGTTTTTATTTCCTTATCGTCACTGAACAAAAAAGAATTTGTGCGCGCACACACACAAAAAAGCTAGCTCCACACTGAATATATTAGATCACACAAGTGTCTGTTGAATTTTGCTGGGTGTTGGTATACAAAAGCCTCTGTACGGAGATCTCAGTTGGGTGACAGCTATCACATTGGTCAATTAAGAAGCTCTAGTTCAGTGGTGGCGAACCTATGGCACGGGTGCCAGAGGTGGCACTCAGAGCCCTCTCTGTGGGCATGTGTGCCATCGCCCCAGCCAGGCCCAGACCATCATTAAAGTGTCGAATTCTCTGCCAAATAATTTTAAGTAAATGAAAGCATTTGGGATTGCTTTCCTTACTTTGTTTGGATCATCTTAAGTTAATGTATGAATTGTTTTTTCTAAAGTAAAACCTCAGTATTCAGGTTAAATTGCCATGTTGGCACTTTGCGATAAATAAGTGGGTTTTGGGTCGCAGTTTGGGCACTCGGTCTCTAAAAGGTTCGCCATCACTGCTCTAGTTAATGGTGACATGTCAGCCAAGCAAGCCTTAATGGGTCGTGAAGTAAAGGGGGAAAGGGGAGCTGTCTATACTAAGGGTGGGGGTGAGGGCTGTTTGCACTCAGCAAAGGTGGGCTGACTCAAGTTGTGTGTGGCCTACTGTCTCATTCATAAGAAGTTCCTGGGTCCACTGCACTTCTGATTTACAAAGCGAGTGTATATCCTGACTGTGTTTAAGGTACATCAGATCTGGCTTTAAGTGGGCCTGTTTGCTTAGGAAGAATAAGCATCTTACTTTGAAAGAATCACACCGAACAAAACCTGTTCGAAGAGTGAAAGTAATGCTTCCTGGACCAATCACATGAGGATTCCTAGCCAACCAGATGACATCCAAACTTAATTGTTGTGGGGAGGGGAAGGGAAAGGGATTGTAAGCCACTCTGAGACCAATGCTCCCTCTAAGCTGTGGAGTCCTGTGAGCAAAAATTCTCCTTTGTGAGCCACTGGCATTAAATTGGTGAGTGAGCAATTTAGCTACTGCATAAATTAGTTTGCTCTGGAGCCATCCTTCCTGAGCTAAGACAAAAATGTGTGAGCCGGAGGCTAAAAAACTGAGCTAGCTCACACTAACTCATCTTAGAGGGAACACTGTCTGAGACTCCTTCAGGTAGTGAAGGGCAGGGTATAAATTTAATCTCTGCTTCTGAATTCCAAAGTGGCTGTTCACTTTGAATTAAGGCAATTTGTGACTTTATTGTCATGGAATGCCACTTTCACTATTCATTCCCTCCCAGTAATGTGAGGCCTTTTGCATAACAGCCCTACCCACAGTGTGAAATGTGCTTCCTTTTTTGGTTCAGCCCAAAATGAGAACCAAAAAATCAAAACGAATGAAGTCAGTGGGGTTGGATCTGATGAACCAGGAACCTCTGTGTAACATCCCGATCTATTCCTTAGGAGTTTGGGGGGTCAGGTGGGTGCAAGAAGGAGAGGCCATTCTGTGAACTTTTTCCACTCGTGGTGTGTTAGTTCCAGCTCAGTGGAATAATTTGGGTACAGCTGAAACATCTGATGAATGAATGGCAACGGATCCCTACTGTTCTGGAAACCCTGGCACCAGTGTTCCCTCTAAGCTGAGTTAGTGTGAGCTAGCTCTCAGTTTTTAGCCTCCGGCTCACACATTTTTGTCTTCGCTCGGGAAGGAGGGCTCCAGAGCAAACTAATGTATGCAGCAGCCAAATCGCTCGCTCACAACTTTAATGCCGGTGCCTCACAAAGTAGAATTTTTGCTCACAAGACTCCACAGCTTAGAGGGAGCGTTGCCCGGCACTCCTTCAGAGTTTGTCAGGTGTTCCTCAGCGAGGTGGTCAGTGATAGCGAACAAAGTTGGGGAGCGGTGGTGCAGGCAGTACAACGCCTGCAAGTAACATCAATAGCGAACAGCCACAATGGTTGTTCGAGTCCCCACCGCAGCCGGAGTGAGCTCCCGGCCCCCAGTCCCAGCTCCTGCCAACCCAGCGGATCGAAAGCATAGCAAGTAAACAAATGGGTACCTGCCCTAGGTGGCAGGGGGCACCCCCCTCCTGGTTCCGTGCCAGGAGTGTTGTCGGCGGCGGCGATAGCATCGGCGGTAAGAACAATGGCGGCGGAGAAACTGACGATCCGAGGTTGCGGCGACCTGATCAGATGGAGGCGGAGTTGAGGCGACGCAACGGTGAGACGACGCAGCACGGCAGGAGCCCAACGGGACGTAAGCCGGAAGCTGTAGTCCGAAGCAGTTGCGCGCCAGAGGAGGAAGTCACCAGGAGCCTGCCTGAGATGGTCGCCAGTCATCCGAGACGCCAGGAACAGCGCCC